GTGGTGTTAAAAATAAAACCGAAACATGCCAGGCATGAACATTTTGAATCTAAATTTACATGCGATGTAGAGAACATAATGCATCATTCATGTAAAAATATTTCATTATGGTTAAAGTTGCTGTCGTTGCTCATCTGCTGGTAAATTTAAATTATTGTTAATCAATTTGTACTGAGTTGTGTATTATTGTCGCCAGAATACTGTTGGGTTTCTTGGTGTCCGAGTGTTTGCATGTTAGACATACAGAATACGATGTGTCAGTGGGTGAGCGTGATTTGCAATACACATTAAAGATCTAAAACAGTGGGAAAAAGAAGGCACTTAAAGTGACAAATTAAAATAGTTAAAGAAACACAACTTGTCCTGGTTCATGGCTACATGTACAGTATCTCCCTGTCTCCAGTCTGTCAAATGTTTTACGTGAATCCGTGGGCAGTCATTAACTTTGCTTGTGTGCCCTGTTTTAAAAGACGCATAAAACACTGGTTCTGTCAACATATGTGCAAAGGGTAGATAACCACATTTCAGACTTAGTTGAGCTCAGAATTATTGAAATTTAAGTTTGAAATAATCTTTTAATCCTACCAACGTGTTTCTTCAGGTTAAAATAACATTTATTATTGGAATAACTCAGTTAGAATCATGGCTTAAATCTGACAAAGTGCCTGTAAAGAGAGCTAAGCATTAGGGTTATGGCATGGAGACCTTTCAGACTCAATGACTTAGGATAACATTACCTCTCTGCAATGGTCAGAATATCAGTGGAAACAGACAAACAGCTGGGCGCTTGTAATGTTATCCTTTTACTTTATGTATTGAGAATTTTATAAATAATTGCTGACATGCCTCTACTCTCTTAAAATATAACAAACAATTTAAAACTTCCCATATTTATTGTATTTACACATTACTGTACATATGTGTATTCGTAAGATCTATTCTTCTAACCCTGAGTAGTTTGTATTAAACTTAAACTGAGTTTGCAAAGTTGATCACAAAACATCTTTTAATTGTAGGCAAAATCTAGACATTTGCGTGAACATCAGATTTAACGTGAAACATCTCATAACTGAGTTTTGTTGTCTGTTGCTTTAGATGATCAACGTGACAACAACTGCAACGGGCTATGGCCTGACGATGGCGTGTGATACTCTCATTTCCCAGGTGATCCGAGCGCTCCGTCGGTGATTTATTGTGCTTGAAACAAGCCACTGAAACGTCTCTGTTTTGCAGACATATGGCAGCAGGAACATGAAACGTGTGGGAGTTATTCTACAGAAAAGCACCCTGATCCTGCTGATGTTTTGTCTGCCTTGCTGGGCTCTCCTTGTCAACTCCCACAATTTACTGCTCCTTCTTCAGCAAAAGCATGAAGTAGCCCGGTATATCCTGCAGCTCTGATATCTTTATACTCTGTCTGGGATAAACTGTGGTTTAGAACATAAAATACAAAAAAGGCTTATCTTCATCTTCAAGGCCAAGGCTGACAGTTAAATTATCTTTAAGCAGTTTATTATTCAGCTTTCTACCTTTACCAGTGGACGAAATCTAGTAAGACCCCAAGTGAAGATTTCTATCTCTAGTTCATTTATTACATTTACAAACACAATAAAGCATAGATTTGAAAACATAATTTTCATTCTGCAGAAACAGGGTATGAAAAGTCAAAAATCTAACTGTGTTTATGGCACTTGTTGAAAAGTGTTTTTTTTTTTTTTTCTTTTGCAACATTTCAGAATTGCCCACCTTTACGTGATGGCGTTTCTTCCTGCTGTTCCAGTGAGTACAATAAACTGAACTTGTCTATTTATATTTAAATATAAACTAAATACATATTTAAAAATTATGCATTTAGCCAGTAAAGCAATTCAACAGAAGTACTAAAAGCTGCAGTTTTACCAAAAATGTTCCACAGTGGGGAAGTTGTAGTCAACGTGCCGTCCTGTTTTAGCTTTCCACAATATATTCTTTCATATTGAGGCCAAAAAGTTTAACTTTGGTCTCATCTGGACAGGACACCTTCTTCCACGTGCTTTCTATTTCATACAAAGCTTTGTGGTGAACTTTCTTTCAACAACGACTTTCAAGTGTATCAACACTTATTGCCGTTCTTCCGTATGCTCCAAATTTTAACACCTGACCTGTAAATCTCTGAAGCTCCTTCAGGTTTAGCATGGGACTCCTAAACCCATTCTCCATTGTCTAGTCTCAATCTAACTGGTTAATGTCTGGTTTGGTTCTTGCCAAGTTGAGTTTAGCTCCACTAAATGTGAGAGTGAATATGAGCAAGAACATGAGCGGGAATGTGGGATTGTGGTTGAAGCTCAGATGGTGTAATTTTGCACATATATCCTTGGGTGCCAGCAATCTCTCTATATATTTGTTTGTTGTGAGCTGCTTGGTTCAGCTGACAATGTATGTGCTCTTCTGCCACAATAGATAAAAAGGTTTGGACCTGAAGGTTTGACGGTAGAATTATCAATCTGCAGCTCGCCATCTCATCAGCTACTATATGGCCTGAAAATGATGGTGGAGATGCTGCTGTTAGAGGAGTTTCCGTCACTTTGCTCATCTAGTGACGTAAATCATGTGCCAATCAATGAATGCAGTCAGCTGTCAATCAAATCCTTGCGTGCAACACACGGCTTGAGGTGTTTATGAAAAATGAGGAGGAACTATGGTGGACCTGGTAATAGAGACGTGGCTTTAGCTGCTTTTCTGATCGATAATCATTGCTTGTTTTGACAGTCAGTAGACGTCCATATCTTGATAGTGTTTTGAAGGTAATTGATTGTACTTGATGTAATTGTCCCTGTTACCCGAGTAAAAAGGTCTGAATACTTTTTGCTGGTCAACCACACAACATGCCAGATGAATACACTGGAGCTTATAGTTGGATGTGACAGAATGCTAAGATAGTTCTGGGGTTAGAAATAGGAAAAATAAATCATTTGTCATTTAAATTGTAGGGCTTTCCACAATTTGCATGTGTCCAAAGTTTTGCGGGTGTCCTTAGGTTTCCTGCAGTGGCATATAGGGGAGTCTGTGGTGTGTGGTTTCATACAAAAAAGAATACAAATATCCATGCTAAATTTGCAAAAAAAAGAATGTGCAGAATCAGGTGAAAGCCAGCTCATTCATACATTAAATCTTCTGAACTGACGGGTGCACTTTCTTTTTTACCATGGCTGTATGATCATGCTTAAAAACAAAATAAATCTTATAATATTAGGAATTTGTTGGCTTGATAGTTCTGCCATTCCTGGTTATCTTTTCATTCTCATTTCTAATGAACTAAGATAATCCAGCAGTTGAATAATGCAATTATTCAACTGAAGATGGGTAAGAAACACAATTTCCTTTTAAAAAGTCGATGCTGCGGGGTAAACTGTTTTCATCATGGCTGACTTTCAACAAAAATAACAAAGACGTGGAATACCAAGCTCTTCTTGCCATCTATGAATTTAAAGCTTTTTAATTAACCACTGATTTTGCTTTATTTAAAAACTTTGCTGCAATTTGGAGGCGTCACAAAAAATATGAATCAAAGGACACTGAATTACCTCCTGAAGCACATTAACCTAAAATCTGACTGTAGAGTTCACTCTTGAATGTTTAGTTTCCAAAGTTCATCCCACTTTACATGTATTTCATATTTTATTCTAAGATATATGACATTAAAACAGTACTGTCTTATTTACCTACTTATGCACTTAACACTAAATAAGACATTTGAGAATCATAGGTCTCAAGATCATCATAAAATTGTAATGTTTTAAAGATACTGCACACCAAGAGATATATGAGATCAGTCATATAAAAACTGACTTTTGTCTCTTTTTGTTCCAGGCTATGTTTTTGCATCAGCTGCAGGTTTCTTATCTACAAAACCAGGTACTTTCCCGGAAAAAGTATTTTTCTGCTCAGCTACGTTACATCTCAAAATCTGAGTTTGTGGAAACTTTTTAAGGCAAAACCTTTCAACCTGTTTTGACAGTTTAACTGTATTTCTTCTCTGATCCCGTATTTGTTTCCTTTTACTTATTTTATTGGTTTACCTAGTTTATTGGTGCAACAGTTTTCTACTAAACTTTCCATTTTGCTACCTATCTTCATGATGTCAGACATCATGAGGATAGTCCTCCCTGACTGGTTTATCAGATTTGATCATTATGATATATTTGACTAAATGATCCATTAATATTTAATCTTGTTGGATAATTTCTTTGGTGTACATTTTTCTTATACATGTGCTATTTTTTTCTGTTTTTCAAGTTTTATGGCCAGCCAGTGTTTGAAAATTGTCACTGCAGACTTCCTTTCTAATTCTAACTTCTATATTTTTGTATCTATCAGGGGATCATTCTACCCCAGATGTACACAGCTGCAGTAGCCAACATTTTGAACTTGGGGATCAATTTTCTTCTTATTTCTGAGCTCAAGCTGGGTGTAATGTAAGTGTGCCTAACATTTCCTGCCTTTGAAATTTTGATGGACTTTGTATCGACTGATATGGTATCAAACCTCAGAAGTGAGAACAGATAAAATACATAATAATCAATATAATCAAAAGAGCAGGAAGTCAAAGAGAAAGGGAAGGTATGCATTCAAGAGAAGTATTTTTTTCTGCATTTTATCTTATAATTTGTCTTTGAAGGGTAATTTGTTTTTTGTTCACACCGAGTCAGCAGTTCACTGACGTTTATTATTTTTGATCTTTATTTAGAGAGAAAGGGTCATAATAGGGCAAAAACAGACAAGAAAGAAATGTTACGGCTCATTCCAGATTCCAGCTGTACAAACATTTGATTCATCAGCAATTTGACCAATCGGGTCTCCCTGTTCGGGTCGCGTCTCCCCACTTGCTCCATATCAACCAGGGACACCTGCTAAGGGCCTATTGAATGATTTTACTGTCCCTTTATGTGCAAGTCGCAGTGTATGTTTTTCCTCTGTATGGTTCTGCAGAGATACACTTGTAAAATTACATCTTTACACCGTCTGCCGTAAACCAGATTAAGAAATAAATCCGTTCTGTCGTGTGTGTGTTTGCAGTGGATCAGCGACTGCCAACAGCCTCTCTCAGATCATCATTTGCCTTCTGTTGTTTGGCTACATCAGGTGGAAGAAGCTCTATAAGCAGACATGGGGAGGTAAGATCAAGAGGCTCTTTTATCAATAGACTGTCACAAAAATATACTTGGATTCTTTATTTCTGATGATTATGGATTGAAGACAGTGAAATAATTTTTTCACTGTTTTGCCTGAATTACACCATTGTTATGTGGCATGGAGGTGATCAGCAAGCAGATCTGCTGAGTTGCTAATAAAGACTTTCAGCTCTTCTGCATTGACTATGGAGACTCAGAGGTGGACAGAGCAGCCAAAAGTTTGTACTCAAGTAAGAGTAGAACTGCTTCAGCATATTTTTACTCAAGTAAAAGTAAAAAATAGCTGTCTAAGAAATTACTCAAGTAAGAGTAAGAAAGTATTTGGTAAAAAGTCTACTCAAGTAGCTGATCAAATTATCAATCATTTAATATTTAAAAATGACACAACCAGACGGACCAAATTGTAAAGTTAAGTGGAAACTTTGGTATTCTAAGGACCAAAATGACAATCATTCATATAAGCAGAAAAAAAATATTACAAAATCAGATGAAAGAAGTTTTTTCCAAATCAGTTTCTTTCAACAAAGAAAAAAAAATTAAGAAAAACCGCAGGAGTGTGTCTGTGTCTGGTGAATGTTTGGTTAAAACATTTTTGTTTTCCATTCACTGGGTAGAAAATCCATAAATAACAAATAAAATGGTTGTGGCTCATGTCCTGGATACATCTGTGTACTTTGGTTCTTGAAACATTGACTCCATTTGCAGCACAGACGTTGTGATTGTCCCTAAAACCTGAAATGAGTAAAAGCTGCAGTTATAACCATTGCTAATACATCTTTTCTATCCCATTTTTTCCTTTCGCTTAACTTTCCATTGATACATTTTATAGTTTCCTTCCTTGTAAAGGGTTTGTTTGACTATCTACTGTTTTCCAGATGATTCTATGGAGCGTGAAATATGATTTCTATTTAAAAAATGTTTGTTTTTTTTTTTAGAACTATTCTAATGTCATACAGTTTTTTCCTCAAGTTTAGTTAATTTTGTTAATCAAAATTAATGTCTAAAATTAAAATATAAGATCCTGACAGATTAAAAAATATTACAGATATTTATCTGGGTTAATGGAGTCGTGCTTTTTTCTAAGAATCTGGATAAACCTTTTTGCAGGTTGGTCCACTGAATGTCTGCAGGGCTGGGGTTCCTACATGAAGCTGGCCGTTCCCAGCGCATTCATGATCTGTTTTGAGTGGTGGGTCTGGGAGGTTGGAGGCTTTCTTGCAGGTTTGTGTTTTATATTTTCTTTTACACAATCGCATCACAATTTTGACAGGATATCTTCAAAATCGTCTTGGCAGACCTGATAGAGTTTCTGTAAATTGGTTTCTTGGAATGGAGCAATGATTCCCAGCCTGTGGAAATCCTTAATATGATTTATACATACAGACGATAAAAGAAACAAAAAAATTTTAATCATTGTATGTTGCTTTTACACCTACATCTGTCAATTACAAGTCTGTTCATGGGATACAACTCAACTAAAAGAATTAAGTAAATTTATGATATTGGCTCAATTTATTTATTTAGAAATGTGCTTCACCTGCACACATATTAACTCTTCACAGTTAAATTGTCAGATAGATGCATCATCCTGAAATTTTTTTTTGTACATTCTTTTTATTGAAAAAGGTAAATCCTACTTGTTATGATGTATTGATTTAGTTTTGCTCCAGTCTAGTAATATCTGTTCCACTTGCTGACATGCTCTTTCCCAAACTGTTATACTCAAACCCAAAACTTGTGATTATTTTTAGGTTGGCTTGGAGAAGATGACCTGGCTGCCCAGCATCTGATGGTAGAAATAGGAGCCATAACATACATGGTACGCATCATTAGAAAGAAATGATCACCGGGGTTATTTACAAACATAACCTGGACTGAATAATATATGCTTTCTTGCAGTTTCCTTTAGGTATCCACGCTGCAGCCTGTGTGCGTGTGGGGAACGCTTTGGGAGCCGGGAACACATCAAGAGCCATAATCACCTGCAAAGTTGCCTTAGTTCTTTCAGGTATGAAGATACTTATTACATGCATTTGAAGTAGAAAGAATCCAATACATTGCTTTAAAAACATGTGACATGCACAAGTAATCAGCCATTGATTGATACATTTGATGTGTATTTGATGATTACTCTTGACGATTTTAATGCTTGTGCTCGATAAAACGGCTCGTTTGCTGTTCCCAACATGATTAGTTAGTGTGTCATGTTTTTATCACGGAAAGCACTTTGAACTGCCTCTTTGCTGAAATATGCTACATAAAGAAACTTGACTTAAAGGGTCTTTCAGTGTTTAGCTTCATCTTCTTCAACTTTAACCAGTTTCTTCTGCTACAACCACCATATTTTACTGTGGTGCATTCAGAGTGAGGTCAGTCGAAGTTTTCTGTCACGTATGACTTTTCTTTATTCCACATATTTCTTGTGTTCCTTGAAAGGCTTCCAGCAAACTGCAAATTGGATTCCTTATTGCTTTTATTTTGTCAATCTTCTGTATATTTGTGAAATGTGTGACTAAACAAATCCCCCTTAGCTAACTCAATGATGCTTTGTTTTGGTCTGTCACATGATCACCTCTAAAGTTACAGTTTATAGTTATAGTTTGTGGTTTGAAATTGACAAAAAGTGGAATTAATGTTAGCGAAAGACATTTTCAAAAATTAAACAGCTCTGACACATTCCTACTGGAAGGAAACCGCTTGTGTTATATCCAACACATATGATGGTTATGATCATTGCGCGTCTCTTAACACCAATCTTGAATAATTTGTAAAGTGTCGTATCTTTTCTTTGCACCACAGGAGTGCTGGCTCTGTTCCAGGGGTTCATCCTCGCTGGCTGTAAGTCCGTCATTGGCTACATATTTACCTCAGACGTGTGAGTCTTCCAGCCAACACACATTCATTCCTATGCAGTGAATAAGCAGCTCTGTCTTGATGTGCTCACCTTGTCTTCTGCAGCAAAATTGTGCAGCTCGTATCAGACAACTTGACAGTTTACACATTTCTTCAGTTCCTTGATGCTCTTCTGGTATGTTTTACTTTTGTGTTTTATTTTAATTTGAATTTTTTTCCATCAATTAAATGTTCTTTTAAATATTTTTTGGGATCCTTCAGTGTGTCTGCACAGGGATTCTTGTTGGATGTGGGATGCAGAAAATCGCAGCCGTGTCAAATTTGATATTTTACTACCTCATCGGCCTGCCTGTCGGAATAGCACTGATGTTTTGGGCCAAGCTGCGAATATTAGGTAATTTGTTCTTGATCATCTTTTCTGTCCATATCACCACATCACAACATCAAAAATGCCTGCATATGCTCTTGTCCAAACATTTTGCAACTGGTGCAGAGACAGCTGGGTGTTTTGTGTCGAACCTTAAATTAGGATTAACCAAAAATCCTGTTTTCCCCGGACATGCTGACATTCTGTGCAGTGCATCCAGCAGCTTTCTGTTATTGTTGAAAAAGTCAAGGTTCTCATTGTTTGACCAATAGACATACTTAAATTGACTAGTGCGATACATGGAATACCACAGCCTTTTTTTAAATTTCCTAACGGTTGGTTTTTATTCAGTTATAGGCAAGATGCTTTATGGACAAAACACAAAATAAATGTACTTTATACTGTTCTGGTCACAACAAATGGGTGGCAGGGTGAACTGTGCACACAGCTGTTACTGCTCAACTTTCTAAGCTACAAAAGACAAAATGTTCGGGATGCACCAAATTTGATATTTGATATTGATACTGCTACTATGGCAATGTTTTTTACCAACATGACAGAATTAGATATATTGCCCGATGCTTTCTGCTTCTGTGTAATCTCCCACAATCCTGCCCTGCATCACAATCACTGTCACATGGCTCAATAAGTAACACATAATCTGCCCCCTAGACACAAACAAATGGCAGCAAGATGGAAATAAAATTGGTTGTTCATATTGGCGCAGATTTGCTTATTGGACCGATACTGATATGTTAAAAAATAACTGACATTGGCCAATACCCATGTTGATTGTTTCACCAAAGTGTTTTATGACTGGGCCAAGTGTCCTCTTTTTTGGATATTAAAATATAACGACCACCTTAAGTTTTTACAGTAAACTGGAAACATGTCTGGGTTCTGCCTTGTAGAGAGTGAAACCTGAAGACACGATTCTCAACTGGAAACAGGTTGAATCCTCCATCTGAGTCAGAGACGTCGCAAATGAATAAATAAAATCTTGCTGTCGTACAGACGATGGACAGACTTATTGGGGTTTTGTCTGCAGGAATGAGGGCGTCACCCTAGTTTGTTGGGGCAAAGAAAGAGCCAAGCTGAACGGTAGCTCTGGTGATTTACTGGCCTATCAATTTTACAATCTTCATCTGTGGCTATCCCGACTAAAACAATAACATCATGGATACAAGTGGCTGTATTGAGCTTCCTCCAGAGGGTGCCTGTGTTTAGCTTGATCAGTTTTATCAAATGTTATCCGCGCCAGAAATGCATTTTTGTTGGATAAAGCAAACAGACGGATGCTTAAAGGTCAGATTTAATCCATTCAGTGATTCCTTCATGATAATTTCATAGTGGCAGAAACAATAATTGAGATTTCGAGCATCACTCTGCAGCATGCAGTCACACTAAATTTACTTTACATTAATCAGCATGTTGCCCTATTTTCTTGCATTTTCTTTACAATTGTTAGTACATGCATACTGAATGACCGGCTCCTAAGAAATAAATTGGGAATTATGTTCAATGTTGATATTTAAGCTCAAAGTTATTTGTAAAGTCTAGTGAGTCCATCCACCACTCTTCCAAGCATTCATCATTTTTCTTCCACAATTTGCCTCCTGCTTTTTGCTGTCCACTTAAATCAGACCTACACAGACCAGCATCACTCCTTTGACCTTGTGAAATAAGATGATTATAGTCTCTGTTAATATTTCCTTTGTTAATCAATTAGGAACATCATAAAAAGCCTTAGGAAAGCGTGTTGGACGTACACATATTTCAGACTTTTTGATTTCATCTTCTAACTGAAGGCAAAAGCTCTTTAAAGTAACTCAGACAATGGATTTGAAGCTTACTGTATCTGTGAATAATATTTGTTTTGTTACTTTAAATAGATACAAAAATAGGCCCAAGAGCAGAAATACTGTCATGATGAGTATTTCAGTTTGATTCAATAATAAAAAATCTCAAATAAAATTCAGTTAACTCATTTGGTTACTTTCCTTTACTTAAATCAAAACTTGCTTAAGAGCGCAGTAGTTATTTGTCATATGTGCTAATCTGTCTTTTCAGGCTTGTGGCTCGGTCTCCTAATTTGTGTTTTCATCCAGACGGGTTTCTTCCTTGCTTTGATCTTTAAAGCTGACTGGAAAAAAGTGACGCAGAAGGTGAGCTATTCTCTTCTTTCTTTATAAAAGTATACAAATGTTCAAATAAGAAGTGGATTCAATAATAAAAAAACAAGATATTTTGAAGTCAAACTAAGCTGTGATATATATATGTTGGACCGTCATTTATGCTTTTTAAGCATTTTTCGATCTGTTGTCTTTCCAAACTGATGTTTTTTTCTGCTGTACCAAGTTTTTTTTTGTTACTATCAACATTTTTCTAAGGCTTTGGTTTGGTTTGCTCTCTTCAGGTTGTACCAACAAATTACTAATTTACCATTGCTACTTCAAAAAAAACCTAATTACATACCTGTGTACTTTGGCTTTTGCATATCTGTTTGTTCCACTTATTCATATAACATTTAATGGTTACATCAGCGTACGTAAAAATAGTCATTCTCAGACTCTGCAACACATTTGTCAGAAGGATGAGTCCTATACTCACATCAGGAAATTACTCCAGTGAGGAAATATTTATTCAAATAAAATTTTATTGACCAAACAAATTATTACATGTAATCAATGATCGTATCTATTAACTCTAAGGTCAATTTCCTGAAGTTTAATTGAAGCAGAAGAAGCGCATACAAAATAAAACAAACTTAAGTCAAAATAATGTTTTAGGATCTTAAGCCAACTATAACGTACAAATAATAAAAAAATCATAAACTGTAGAACATTAACATATATTTTTATGCAACTACTGCTTTGTGTGCTTTAATTTCCTTTCTGAGGATTTATTTAGCGATAATTTAATTTCAAATGATCACTAGTTAATAGCTAAAACACCTTTGTTGAAGCTTAAGCAGTTTATTTATAGTTTGTTTATAATCTGACTGTAGGTGTTAATTCCCTTTTGGACAAGATTGTTCTTGTGAGTGAAAGGTCAGATATGATGTTAATGGCAACAACACAGATGATCAAACCTAATCTAATAAAATCAAAATAACTGCCATTATCATGAAAGAAATTTACAGGACCCACAAAAAGTAGATTTAGAGCAGATTACAGAAAATTACTCTACATCCTCAGTTATCAAAGCAGGGACAAAACTTCTAGCTTGCAGCAACACATCAGTGCACGGTTGATAAGAAATGTTTTCCTTTCATGCCAGAATAGATCAGCTGCCAAACAAACAAAAGTGTAAAAGCATGAAATTGCAAAGTCATGAAATGGTGAACATCTTTTTAAAAAAAGAAAAAAACATTTTGTAACCTTTTGTCAGAATGTGGATAATTATGACAAAACACTAGTCTACTAACAATTCCCACTGAAGTCGTTCCGCGTGCAACTATTATTTTTGTAACTAGATCTTTTATTATTTTCTGGATCGTTTTTTGTAAATGACTTTTGTATTTGTGCCTAACTGGACATCTCGTTAACATGCTTTAGGCTCAGACGCGAGCTGGGAAAACTGTGGTTGTGGCCCCAGTGCGTCCTGTTAGTGCAGTTCTAAATGAAGCGATCTTTCCGGATGTCATCGACTGCCCAGATTCGGTGGGTACACATTTCTCTCTGAAGCTTTGTATGCAAACCTCGCATTTTCTATAATATATTTTATTTTGTTATCCCAAAGGCCCAGGAAAAGAGTGAAGCAGCTCTCAGAACAGAGGGCTACAGTCGGGTTAATACCCAAGATCAGGAGCTGAAAGGAGGCCGTGAGTCAGAGGAAAATCACACCAATGCTGCAGTAAATGAGAGAGACACAGAAAAGAGCAAAGAATCATCTGACTCCAAAGCTGCAGAGAAGCTCTCCACCTCTCAGCTGATCATGCGTCGGGGACTAACTTTGCTGTTCTCAGTTCTTATTTTGATAACAGGAGTTGTATTCCAAATTGCTTTTCCTGTAGTAGCACCCAGTGCCCAGAGTGTGGCCAACGCCACCTTGAACTGGGTTAATTTCTCCACTCCTACACCACTGGATGCACTGAACCTGACTACAAGCTTGTGAGCTTCTTGGAGTGGAGACCCCTGCTGACAACATGTGGTTACTGCACTGGGGAGAAACAAAAGGCCTTACTGGCCAGCTGCTGAGTGAATCCACAGAAGCCAGCAAGCGATATGAAACTCCACCGACTCTAGCAGGAAGAACAAATGTTTTGAAGTAAAGACCGGGTTTTAGCTCTCTCAGTCAAAAGTACATGGCTGCACTGTGGTGAGGAGCATTAATACAAATTCCTCACCAGCACACTAAATATAAAGTGCTAAATATGCTGCTATCAGTGACGTGCGGTGAGCTTCATGACTGGTGAGGCTCCACCAGAGTCAGATGTACAAATCAAAAATCAAATATGGAAGCTATATTTTCATTTTGACCATAACTAATTAAAGCTTCTAACAATATAATAGCAAGAAAGATAAAAAAATATGTAAAAAGGTACAAATTTTAAATTATTTGGATGTTTTCCTTGGCTGACCTCTCTTTTCTGATTAAAACTGAAAATCATGTATGATCTGACCTTTATGTTATACGTATATCTCTGTCATTCTGTTGTAAAAAGAAAAAAAAAAGTCATCGTTTTTCATTTACCTTTCATTATCAAAAATCTAGCAGCCAAAGAGAGTGGCTTGAGCAGTGGTTTATCTGTATTTACCCCCTTGACTGTTTTCAGTCTTTTCAGTGCGTAGAAGAAGAGCACCTGTTGTGTCTATGACGCTCAGCACTGCCCCCTATCAGTGAGTCATGGTACATCTTGTCACACTTCAAGCATTTTCACTGCAAATTTATGGCCGATCATATAGACTAAATATGTCACATTCATTAAATTTATCAAACAGACTGTGGAATGTCAATATATGTAGAAAATGTGTAATTAAACAAGTACACTGGAATGTGCCAATTCATTCAGTTGTGTGATACAGCGACCCCAAAGGTCACTTTTCAGTCTTTGTGTCCTCTGGACTACTTTTTTACTAAATGGAACATAGTTTTTAACTTTAAAAACTTAAAAATTCATATTTGTTTTAATTTTCTCCTCCAACTTTATGATTACAACAATGGCGTTTAAAATGGTTTTGCTTTTCAAGCGGGTAAGATGGTCTTGACTACTGCCAGCTTCTGATTGGTTAACTTGTGCATTAAGTAGCCATTAATCTGAGTGGGTAGATAAATGCAGCGTGTGACCATAAAGAAATTAAATAAGTTGAGAAATAACTGTATAATTTTTTATTTATAAATTGACTTTTATTTTAATTATTGAAACCAACAGCAATATTAAAGATTTATTTACTTTTCTGAATTTTGGCACTTTTGAACCTCCATACAAATATGGCATGAACATATTATTGATTTGGCTTCTGTGTGCACTGCCCTATAGAGTAAAAGCTTAATCCTTAAGAAATTTTTATCATGTTTTAGAAAACTAAACATTGAGTGTAAATATGTATTTTGTACACATGAAAAAATTACCTGAAAAGATGTAAATATATATCACTAAATAATATGTTAAATAATGGTTTTATTTTTGTGTCATTATAAATTTGTTCTGAGTTTTGTCTTGGCATGATTGACTAATTAAAAACATTTTAAATGAACAATGTGATTGTGTGTACATTTTATGAACACTACCAATAAAAATAATGAAGTCAATAAAGAGAAATCAGGTATGATGAAGTGCGAAAGTCAGACAGATATGACACTATATGATTAGTTTTAAGTAAATATGGCAGTTCTTGGTATTTTCTAAAGGCAAAAAATGCATGCGTCATGGCTTCTGTGTTGCATAGACATTAGATTACTTCAATTTTACTGATGAAAACTGAATTTCAACTATTTATTTCCCAATTAGGATTCATCATTACATAAGCACATGCTAGACGTTTCCCAACAACATGACACAACAAATAAGGTAGCATCATTTCTTAAGAAACCATGGTACACCATGACTCTGAAATACCATTGAGACAGGAGATTTTTGTCTCTTTCCGCTTGTTAATGACGCCACAGCATGTTACTGATTGCAGTCTCTGGAGGTAAGTAGGCCAAGATTGCAGTCTCTGTGAGGAGCCTCTGGCAAGATCTCCGCTGATGAGCAAAATGTGTCCATGTATGAATCCAACCTGATTTACATATTGAATAACAATACATTATTTTGCATTTTATAGGACTAAAACAAAGAAGTGTCTGCTGTAAGAGTAGTGTCTCAACTATGATCTGGCTTCATACTGTATACAGATACCTATCAAAACTCACCAGAATGGGATACAGTTGTAATAATTTAGCATGCTGAAAGGAATGCTCTAAAGTGAACTTTACTGTTCACAATTTTCGACATGGCATGACTCATTGCACACTGTGTTTACTTGCATGTAGCTTCATGTGCATCACATAAAGAAGCAGATCAGCTACATTCGGAGGAAGTTAAGAGGAAATGAAACAAGGTGTTTAAGTTTTGACATTTTTGTACCGGGAGATAGCACTGTGCAGTGAAAGAGTATCTGCTCCCTTACATGTTTCCATTGCTTTTCAGTTTTATTACAACCTAAATAAATCTAAATGTTTTAGGTCATCAAGCAGTTTCTAACATCAAATAATGATTACCAGTCTGAATAAGAACTTGTCCTCTGAACCAAATAATTAGAGGTTTGCCTTTAGGAGTTTACAATTACTGGAATTGAGTTTTTGTATTGCTTTGGGGGAATTTTGGTACACTCTTCTTGCAAAATTAATTGTTTTAATTAAGACACATTAAAGGGTTTTCATGTTATGTACTGATGGTTTCACCAATATCAGTATCAGTTTGTTGTATGTTCCCAGAAGAAACAAAGTTGATCATCAAACTATCACCTGCATGTTTGAATGTCTGAGTTATTGTATTTCTCCTGTCGTAGCTTTATGACAAATGTAATGATACATACAAGTTCAACTTTGGTTTTGTAAAACAACAACATATCTGTTGGTGAAGATGTTTTTGTTACAAATTTGAGATGGGTATTTTTGTACCTTTAGGCCTGTAGGATTCTCTGTCTGGCTCTGACTTTTCCTCACTGTTGAATCCCAAATACTCCAATTTGGTGAGGCCAGCTGTTCATTAGATGCTGTTCTGGCTTCTTTTTAACCTCCTGGATGAGTTGATGTTGGACTCTTAGAGTGAATTTGGTTTCCTTAAAGTAGAACCTTTCAAAAACCTTGGCATTCTTGATGACCTAATTTTCATATATTTCTCAGAAACTGACATTGCATTAATCATTTCCCACAATTCACATGGCAAACTCATTCATTAATGAAAAAAATCTGACAAATTGTTCACAGTTAACCAGGGTGAACCGTTTTACTTATGCCCGATTCGTCCCTGATGAGCCATAGCAAGCTAGTTATCAGCTCTGGCAGAGGAACAGGTGGTTGATCTGCTCACTGGGACATGTTTTTATGTGGCATATTGCAAATAGAGCGCACAGACATTTCATTAGAATCAAATTTGGCAATGAAGATCAAAGGAAAGGAAAATAAATCAAAGAGAAAAAACAGCCTTTGTGTCTTTGATGATGAAAGCATGCATGCAAAAACGCACTGTAACCTAAATTTAACATATAATACCGTTTTTAATTATGGATTTTATTCAGATTTTATAAAACAGAGAATGTATGTCTCATAAGCTCAAGCAGCATTTGCACATGAAAATTTCATTTCATTTCCTTCATTTTTTTTATGACTAATGTTTAAATTGAAAACCTGACCGTTTTATTGTGGAGTAAAAAGCGTAGGATACACAAACAGATTTTGTGCATTTAGAAGGCACACAGTGACAATGCTGCAGCATCGTTTTAGTAAACAGAGAGGAGCTACATCCAGAGTGTCTTTAATGATGGATGACGCTTTAAACAAAGGTCCTCTGTGTACTGTGTGAATGCAGAACAACAGCTGTGAAATGTTCTGCTGTGTGTCGAATAATACTGTATTGTTCCTGATTAAGGGGAGCAGAAAACATTCAAACTAAAATACCGTAGTAATACCATATATATACACACATATATATATATATATATATATATATATATATATATATATATATATATATATATATATATATATATATATATATAACATTTTTAAGGTGTTGATTTGGCCTCAATGGTTATTTTTAAAGGCTATATTTATGTTTTGTTTTCTTTTAAATAAGCATAAAAAATCTAATTAGTTTTATAAGTCTAAATGAAAGTATGTGAAATGCACTAAAGCAGGCATGAGCTCTCCAAAGATCTTTGATAAAATGTATTTTATGATGTAACTGCCTTTTTAAAAGAAAGACATTTTGTGGCGATCGTGGCCTTTACTGACATTTATTAGACAGAAAATGGGAAGAAACAGGAGAAAATATCTACAGAAAAGATCCCAAGGTTGGGAATCAGTTACGGTGCTGCTTTCTTTTAACCAGCTGACCAGCAGTGTGTGGCAGCTTGGACTGTATTAAACCCAGAGAAAACGTTTGTCACTGTTCTGTATTTATTAAGATGAATCTGAAGCATAAAAATAAGGATGCACCTATCCAAATTGTAAAGCCAAACTTAATATTTTTTTAATTCTTTGAGCTATCCATTCTGACTTTAACAGATTTCTGTCATGATCCGTGGTTTTCTGTGTGTTTTTGAGTTTTTCAATGTGTTCCTGTTTCCCTGTGAGTCTCTGTCCTGTCCTCCCCGTTGATTGCTCCCCAGGTGTGTCTCATTCCCTTAATTACCCCGTGTGTATTTATACCCACCTGTTGTCTGTGTTCCTGGTCGGGTCCTTGTCAATTGTCAAACGTTGCAGTCTGCGTCTGTCTGTCCGTCTTCCCAGTTGTACTGGTTAAGTCCTGTGTCGACGTCAGTTCCAGTTGATTTAGTCTTCGTTGTCAGTTGCTACCGGTGCTTAGCTGCGTGCTAGTTGTTCCTGCCGTGCTGCCTGATTTGGACTATGTGAACTACATTCATCATTAAATTCATATTCATCATTAAATTCATCTTCACCATAACCTGGGTTCTCTGCGTCATCTCCTCACCACTTCAACCCCACCTTATGACAATTTCTATTACTAATCCTAAAAAGCTATAACATAAAAATATGTAAGAAATGTTTTGGTAGTCTCTGAGGCACTTCTTGACGAGAGAGCAGTTGCTGTAAAACAGGATTTTACAAGCTAAAATGATTACAGAGTTCACTACCTTTTATTAGTTTAAATAATTAGTTTTATTAGCATTAGAAATAACAACATGACCATTTATTTAATAAGTTAGTTTTATTTATGTGTACTTGTTCAAGGCAGTATAAAGTAGTAGAAATCACTTTTTAAAGCTAATCAAACTCAGCCATTACCTGTTGAATTATCGTTTTTTAAGAACAAATTCAATATTAGCTTTAATGGAGGACGCCTGGATAAACTTATGGCTCACCTGAGAAGTTTCGAAGTTTCAGTATGATTTATTATTGTATTTGTTTTTACTGGTTAATACCAATACTGGGAACAGTGGCTAAAGTTTAGTTACATGAATGATTTACATTCTAGAGTGGATGCACAC